CCTAGAGAAGAAATAGATTACGAACGAGAGGAGAGCAAAGCCCTTTACAGAGGAAACAGAACAGATGGCAGGCCTGCCTTTGAGAGGAGAGAGAACTTTCCAAGTAAGAAGGCAGAGAGTAGGTCCAGATATAGGAAAGTGGGTACAGTCGCCTTAGGAATTTTTATAATGCTTATGGCTTATTTCAATTTGTTAACGTTTATAACTGAAAAAAATTTGATTAGCCCTGGCTGATGTGACGCAGTGTGTTGAGTGCTGGCCTGTGGACAGAAAGGTCACTGGTTGGATTCCCAGTCAGGTCACGTGCCTGGGTTGTGAGCCAGGTTCCTGGTTGGGCACATGAAGAGGCAACTGATTGATGTGTCTCTCTGTCTCTTTCCCCCTTCCTTCTCCTCTCTCTAAAAGCAAAAATCAAATAAAACACAACAATAAATTTTTATTATAAATATTTATTTTCTTATCTATTCGTTTTCTTAAGGAAGACTGTATAAGTGCTGGGCGTCACAAAACCTACATCCTTTACATGACAGGCCATTAATCTGGCAAAGATTCCCAGCAATCAAATGAAAACAGGGAAAGCTCACTAGCTAAATAACATATAGTTTTACTGCGATTTAAAAAAAAGTGCCCTGACTGGTGTGGTTCAGTTGGTTGGGTGTTGTCCCACACCAAAAACATGTCACTGGTTCGATTCCTGGTCAGGGCACATGCCTAGGTTGTAGTCAGTGCCAGGTTGGAACTCATTAATACTTCTCTCTCACACTGATGTTTCTCTCCCTCTCTCGCTCCCTCCCTTCCTCTCTCTCTAAAATAAGTAAAATCTTAAAAAAAACAGTAACAAAAGAGAAATAGAACTATTTTTAATATTAATGTTCCTAGGTTTTCAATGATAAGAACATTATGTAATGTAATGGTGCACATCTTCAGAACAGTCTATAGAAAATACATTTCATAGAGCTCTTTCTAACAGTGCCGATTAATAAGGGGCTTATGATTTCATTCAATGAGAAGGAAAATAAGATGCAGTGGTCACTACTAACCTGGCTTCATCACAGATTACATTTCCAAGTATTTGGAAATCTGCAAAACTGATGGATTGGCCTTCCCGTTAAACTTTACAGACAAGAACACATTCTATCTGTACTCCCTCGAGTAACTTCACTAAAACTGAAGTAAAGTGATAAACCAACAATAACAAAGAGGGTGGGAGATGAGAAGAAAATTTTGGAAGATGAAAGATGGAAAACGGGTAGACTTGAGCAGAGCAGACAAAGATGAATTCTCACCACCTGCAGGAGGCAAGATGAAAAGAGGTAATTCTTTTTACCTTGAAGAGCCCTACGAAGAAGGTCCAGATACTGGAGGCAGTAACACATACTCTGCATACCCTGAAAGGGAGCAAAGGGTGGGGGTGAAAACTGAACAACTAGTTGAAAACCAACCTAAGGACAAATTAGATGATTGAATGTGTTCTTCAAGGCTCAATAGCAAGGAGGTTGTTGAGAGGAGAAAAGTTTGAGTGTAAATTTGTGACTGGTATATAGAAAAACAAGCCAACAATATAAAAAATTGCAAGTTTTAATTGTGGAAAAAATAGATAGTTGGGTAACAAGAAAACAGATGCTAAAAAACAAAAGAATTCAATTATAGTGCATTGTATCGCTCAGCTGTGAACAATATTTGAATCATCATAACAGTATAAACATTTACTGTTTATTTAATAAAAATCATGATATATCAGAGTTTAGGAGTAAGAAAAGTGTATGTATGGTTAGTGTAAAACAGCTAAATTTTCTTCTGTATTAGGAGCTCAGTAAAGATGTCTAAAAATAGTAAAATCAATAAGTAGACACTAGATAAAGCCATTAAAAATAAATATGAAGATCTATATTGGCAGAAACAGTTAAGAGTTCAAAGTCCTGGAAGGGTTTGGGAGTGGAAAGGGTAGGTTGCTGTCTTTTGCTATAATCCTGGTAGAATGAAAGTATTTAACTTTTAAAACAGTGTACATGAATTCTTTGTATTTTAGAGAGTGAGTTGCATATGGTCAGAAATATTTGCATTGCAGGCAAAATAGCTATTTCTCAATATCCTATTACTTCAACACATATAAGTAGGCTGTTTCACATCATAGCTAATCGACTACCTGGAAAACATTAAGTAAGATTTACATTTAGAATAAATTTCACTGTGACATATTAAAAAGAATATATTTGTTTTGTTAGCATCCTATTTCCCTTTATTATTAAGGCAAGTGAGTCATCAAAATTAGTTATTTTAGGCTAGCTCAGGGCTTCTCAACTGGGAAATATTTTGCCCCCCTCCCTGTATCCCCCAAACATTTGGCAAAGTTACAACCAGGGCTGGGGGGCAGTTACTGGCATCTAATAGATAGAAGCCAAGGGCGCTGCTAAACATCCCACAATGGACAACTCCCCAAACAAAGAATTATCTAGTCCTCAATGTCAATAGTGATGCGGTTGAGAAACCAAGCTCTGAGTCTCTGAAGATTACTTCATCAGAACACTATATACTTAAAGATTGATGATAGGCAAACATTTTGCAATTTAGGACTGACTCAGCTATATATCTTGGTGCAATGTTGGAAGGAGTCTGGCTGTGAAATACATGTTTGGGGACGTTGCGAATGGTAAGGTAAAGACAAAGGTATAATACATGATAACAATAATAATATATAGTGCTTTGTACCTCAACAATCTCTTTCATCCATGGTTCCTAGGATACTTTATAGACTAGTAATAACTACTTTGGTACGAATGTACTACCTTTTATCTAAGGATCTCAAGCACTTTCACAACACTCTCACAATGTAGGAAGTATTATTATCCCCATTTTATATGCAAGTAAACAGAGGCACAAATGTTAAGCAACTCACTCAAAGCCACACAAGTCAGTCATAGCCAGCATTCTGGCTAATCACACAGAGCCTATTAATATTAAGAGAACTGGTCTAAGAGATGCAGTAACAAATTTATGTGGCATAAGTATTATCCTAGTTCATTCAGCCAATTGGTTTCAAGTTTATATTTCATATTTATCACCTTATGTTTTTGCCTAAGTCCCCCCAAACTTCCCAACATCTCAAAGACCCAGGACTCTGCTTGATACCCTATTAATAAGGGACTGTAGTTACTGAGTGCCTTTCTTTTCTTTTTTAAAAAGATTTTGTTTATTTTTAGAGAGAGGTGAAAGGAGAGAGAGAGGTAGAGAAACATCAATGTGTGGTTGCCTCTTGTGTGCCCCCTACTGGGGACCTGGCCCACAACCCAGGCATGTGCCCTGACTGGGAATTGAACCTGTGACCCTTTGGTTCACAGGCCTGCACTCAGTCCACTGAGCCACACCAGCCAGGGCACTGAGTGCCTTTCTTGAACCAAGCACACTTAACACACATTGTCCATTCTTAAAACAGCTTTAAAAATATATGCTGTTATTGCTGATTTTTATAGTAAAGAAAATTTCAGAGAATTTAAATAACATGCCTGAGACCTTTCAGCTACTTATGTTTGCATCCAAGCAGACTATATTCTCTTTCCACTGTATCCTGCAGCCCCTCCAAGCATATTAGTGTGAACCTGGTTAAAGCCCAACCTTTTGTCTCCTCTCCTAAAACTCAGAAAACAAATTAATGAATCTATAATGAAAAATTTCAAGGGGTGCACCCAGGTTGGTAGCAGCCAGGCTCAGCCTTTTATACCCATTCCCAAGGAAGTCCTCTAATTTTCTAAGGATTTTTAAAGAACTCCTTCTTGGTTCCTCATACATTCACCCCAACAGCCAGACCAAAGCCCAGATCCGTGTGTTTCCTTGTGAGAAATAAATAGCAAGTGAATCATCTTCTCCTGTTCTCATTTCTGTGGCAGGAGCACACTGACTGCCCACCCACCATGTGTCACCTGGGCCAAAGAGGCATACTCAATAGGAAGAAAGATTGATGTTAAGTAAGAGTGTGACTCAGGGCGCAACTGCTTTTCACAAAATGGTAATCTGACATTTGTGTCCTAAGACTGTGATGTGCCTTGGATACAGTGAGCTCAGGCTCCTCAGGTGCCTGTCAGCTGCAGCCCACACAGCCCTGATCCAGAAATCGAAGATGATTTGAACCTGAGAACAAGATTTGCGCTAGGGCGCGTTAAGAAAAATAAAAGACAATCACGGCCCCAGCTCATATCAAATGAGCATCAGTGCAGCGTTAGTACTTTGGTAGGGAGCTTTTGATGCTAAATTCACTATCTGCAAAGAGGAGGTGTAAAGACGGGGTTAAGAAAACTCCAAATAGAATTAAGATAGCCCACGTGGTCGAAATGTTTTTAATTTTCTTTAGTAAGAGGAAGATAATTGTAAACCCTTGATAATTTACTGTCAATTTAAGCCCTTCCTTTTAGGTAACCCTGGCACCAGAAGACTACAAACTTTTCTTACCAGGAGAGTGCTGGGTTTGTTTCAGTTTTCTCTGTTCTCTACCTGCCATCCTAGCACATCTGAAAAGGGGAAGCGAAGAGGAACCGGGACGCAAGCATGTTTTCCCATCCTGGCTAGCCAGGCCCTGAATCATCCCAAGTTGATTGCACTTTCCCCCTCAGCCAGCAGCATTCTAGACTTTCCCTCGAAGATCTGTCTTGTACTTAAAAGGAAGAGTGGTGGGAGAAGGGAGAGGCGGAGAAGAGAAACGGGGTGAAGAGCGAGGAGGGCCGTTCCCGCCCTAGTCGGAGGCGCCGAATGGCCAGACACCGCGAGGCTGCGAGCCCAGGAATGTGCGATCCGAGCGGCGGGCTGGCCCAGGCGCCGCGCACCTGAGCGCCGGGGGCGGGGCGGCAACGGGCAAGACCCCCCCTCCCACCTAGCGCCGCGCCCCTCCGCGCCGTCTCGGCCCTTTCCGCCCGCGCTTCGGCGTCCCTCGGCTCCCCTCCCACCTCTCGCTGCCTCCCTCCCTCCCTCGTCCCTGCCAGCTAGCCGTGCGGAGAGCCGGGACCTCCCGGTGGCGAGTTGGCTGCGGCGCCTTTAGCTCCACCGCTTCGGCTCACCTGGGCGCCGGTTCTAGCCCCACGCCTCGTCTCCCAAACTTCTCCCAGGTAAGGGGTTGTCACACGCGCACCGGTCCCTGCCCGAATCGGCTGGACACCTAGTGTGTACGCGTCCCCCTTCCTCCGCGAGCCGTTCCCAAGGAATGGGAGTGTCGGCGGCGGGTACCCGGACCGGCAGTGTCCGGAGCGAGGGACAGGAGAGGAGACGGGCCGACAGGTGGCGGGGTCTGGCCCGGGGTCCACAGACCGCCGCAGGCCGGGCCCCCGATGCGCTTGGGGCGGGGGGTCGAGGGTGGAGGCAGTCCCTTTCTCCTCCCCTGGAAGGGTGGCTAGCGTCCGGTCCCGCCGCGTAGGTGCGTCGGCGAAACTTTGCAGGTCGGGGACTCCGGAGCCACGCGCCCGCGGGGACAAGTGGGCGCACCTTCGTCCGGGGGCCCGGAGGGGCGCAGCCGCGGGGCAGTCCCTTGGGCCGCGTGAGGACCTCACGCTTCCCTTCCCCGCCCCCTTTTGTGTTCCCATTCAGACCGCGAGCGGCTGGGGGAGCCGCGGCCGCTCCGCGCCTCGGGGTCCTTCGCGTGTACCCTCGGGGCCGCCGGAAGGAAGAGGCGGCGGCGGCCGGAGCCTGAGTGGGCGGCCCGAGGTGTGAGCCCGGCCGGCCCCGGTGGGAATATGGCGACCGGTGGCTACCGGACCAGCAGCGGCAACAGCGGCGGCGGCGGTAGCACCACAGACTTCCTGGAGGAGTGGAAGGCGAAGCGCGAGAAGCTCCGCGCCAAGCAGAACACCCCGGGCCCGGCCGCCCAGGGCGTGGGCAGTTGCGAAGCTGCTGGAAAGCCCCCGCCCGGGTCTCTGGGCACCTCGGGAGCCGCCGCGGCCAGTGAGCTCAACAACAACCTCCCGGGCAGCGCGGCCGCACCTGCCACCCCCGGGGGTGTGAACTACGCGGTGGCCCCCCCGGTGCTGTCCCGGGCGCCCCCAGGCCCGCGGCGGCCCGAAGACGAGATCCCGGCCGGCGCCGCCTGCACCTCCTCTGCCGCACCGCCGGCCCGGGGCGACGAGGAGGAGCGGGACGGCGCCCGGGAGAAAGGCAAGAGCTCGGGTCCCAGTGCTAGAAAAGGCAAGGGGCAGATCGAGAAGAGGAAGCTGCGGGAGAAGCGGCGCTCCACCGGTGTGGTCAACATCCCGGCGGCGGAGGTGAGCCGGGCGGGGACTGCAACCTCACCTGGGGGTGGCGGTTGCTGTCTCCTTGTGTTTCCTCCTGGGAGCTCTCGGGTCTCCGGGGCTCAGGGTTTTCCCACCGTAGCCCGTACCACTTACCGTTTGAGGGTGAGGGTGGCAGAGGGTGATGGAGTTTTACTCTGAACAAATGCTTCTTGGGAAGTTCCCAGAACCCGAAGCAGGGCACGTGCTTTTCAGGCTAAGGTCTCAGACCCAGGATACATTTTTACAGTGGTGGACAGACAACTCCTGGCTCCAGAACTCGCTCACTTAGACTCCTTTTTTTAATGCTCGATCAGTTAGAAAAATTGATTAATGGCGATGATGACATACTCTAGTTTCCCACAAGTCTGTCTTAAGTTATCAGATTGTTTATCTCCTCTTCTGAACAGTGGTTAATAGCACCTGTAAAGGAAACGTGGCCTGAGCACTATCCGAGGCACCTTTATTTTTCAGTGAACCCAAGATGAGTATATCCACATAAATATATGCCCTATTTTATCTATTTCATGTATAACCCAGCCTTCGGAAATAGTGTTCCTCAACACACACACACACACACACACACACCACCACCCCCACCCCCCCCCCCGCTCGCGCGCGCGCGCTCTCTCTCTCTCTTTTCCCTGAGTGATATTTAGGACAATAGGAACTCTGTAGCAACTCAAAATTTGTGCTGAGATGATCTCTCCTTTATTTAAGTATTTGGCCCTGTGTATTCTAGAAAATATTTGTGGTAGGGTTGGGTTTTGTTTGTTTTCGAACAGTGTCAAAACATTTCTGCAGGCAGTAGCGCCTTGCTATTAGAGTGACTGGTAAAACATTTTTACTTAGTGTATAGCTGCACCACTTTACCCGCCACAAAACAATCCTAAACAAGTTTTGGTTACTTTAATAGTAGCTCACGAGTTTTGGGAAGTGATTCCATAACCTTGTTTCATCCAAAGTAGTTGTTCCATCTTTTTCTTATTGGCTCATTGTTTTACCACCTCTTTTTTTCTTTTTTTTAACTTCTGGTCTTCAGTTGCTTCACTGTGACACCAAGAAAATAATAAGAATTTACTTACTTTAATTGTGGTTCAAGTAAAAGCATTGGCAGACATGCCCAGATTTTTAAGTCTTAATATAATTTCTGTACCTGGAAAATCAGTTTTTCTTTGAAGAGTATATTTTTTACGAGTGTTTCAGAGAGATTTTTATCAGCCAGCAAAACTGTCCACTGTGGTTTGCTACTTGTACAAAAGATCTGTTATTCATTAAACTGCTTTAGAAGGAATTCATAAGAGTGGTAATCAAATTTCTAAGGTTATTTTTATTTGTTTAGTTAAAAATATGAAGATTAAGGGGAAACTGAAGACAAGGCTTTGGAAAAACTACATTCCTCAACTTTATTTTTAAAAGTAGCTGAGGGTCCAAATAAAGGAATTTGTCATTTTTAATCTTTTGCTCATTATTCATCTGACAGGAGTCTTATTTTGGGAAATGTATTGGCAGATGTTAAACTTCAGTATTTGGCTGCTTGTGCTAACATTGTTATTTCTCAAATACCTTTATGTTTTTGTTTTTTAACAAGGGTAATGTTTACTAGGGGAAATAAGCATGGTGTATTTTGTGAGATCCTAAGAAACATCCTTTGTTAATACTTCTGCTTTGGGTAAGGAACATAGTGCTGAGAATGTAGATGACTCCCCACTACAATTGAGTCTAATACTCTGGAATGTTTTTCATTTGGGTGTTGGCAACTCCTAAATTTAATCTTCCTTAAAAACAAACAACCCAGGTTGCCATTTTTTTGTCTGTGGAATTTGAACCTTTTTAATTGAATAGGGAATTGAGGACTGCTTGCCTTTTGTGGTTACTATGGCTCTGTTTCATGGTGTAGGACCCAACAAAACATGGTCATGTTTTACCATTGTGTCTAATTAGCAGGCATGCTTCTTGAGGGCCTCCTCCCCATATTTTTGTTTTTTTTTTAAATGACTTCAGTCAGATTATTTTAGTAGTGGTAAAATAAATGGCTCAAAACTTTGAAAGTGAACCTTTTGCCATATCTTTTTTTTTAGAATTTTGTGCCATTCATTTGCATTAGTTTCAACATTCACAAGGCCCATTGCTGTGGAGCTTCTTGTGTAATACTACTTGTAGCACTCCTGTTTTAAAAAGTCACATAATATTTACAGAATTTTCAGGTATGAAATACTATAAAAGCAGAACATCACCAACCTGTCAGTTTTGAAAAGGAGATTTGTATTATGTATAATGTTGTGTAAGACTTGTTTTAAGACCCTATTCCTGACCAAGTTTATAGTAAATTAGCATGTAAATTGTTTGCTTATTTTAGTGGTTAATAAACAGTTCCTTCAAGAAGTATTTTTATTAAATGTGTGTGGCACATTCATTGTGACTTTCATTAACTCATTTTACTAATTACTACTATAAAATTATTGTAAAGGTACCTGACAACAGCTAAAGAGACCAGAAGAGGCTAGGAGGTAGTTTTAGGAAGTAGGTCAAAACCTGAAAGTGGTGAATGAGGGTAAAATACTGGGTTGATACTGCATGTGATGACTGTAATTAAAAAGTACACATATGCAGATGAGATAAACTTGAGTTCTCATTTCCAAAGTTAGAAATGTTTTTAAAACTTTATTTATTCGAAGATTTTATTTATCTTTACAGGGGAAGGGAAGGAGAGAGGGAGAGAAACATCAATGTATGGTTGCCTTTCATGCGTCCCCTCCTGGGAACTGGCCTGCAACCCAGGCATGTGCCCTGACTGGGAATTGAACTGGGATTATCTGGTTTGCAGGCTCGTGCTCAATCCACTGAGCTACACCAGCCAGGGCCTAAAACTTTAAAAAACATTTTTATTGTTTTGTTTTTTGAGGGAATAGCCCGGATTGGATGTTAGATGGGACATAATTCCTGCCAATAATTATTGCGTATGTTTATGAAATCAGTCAGATATTGGCTACATGTTTGTCTTCAAGGTACTATTGTAAGCACTGTGGAGAAAACAAGGAGAGTAATGAAATGAGCAAGAGTGTCATCCAGGAAGAAGGCTAAGTTAACAGTCTAAAAGCCATCTTGACGCTCATAAGTAATTGTTTATTAGAAATATTGTGTGTTTACAAGGGAAAAGACGATTGGGTTGAAAGGCTCCCGAGGGTGAGGGTCTGGATCTCAGGATTATGTTTCTCTACCTATGTACTCACACATACACATATACATAGCTGTTTGTATGAATACAGTATTTTAAATGCCAGAGTTCAGGGGTTCTTAACTGTTGCTGCACATTAATATCATGTGAGGATCTTACAAAAACACTGTCCTCTTCCTCCCTGACCCCCTTATGATTTAGCGGGTCTGGGATGGATCCCAGGCAGTGATACTTTGATAAGCGCTCCATGTGACTGTGGGATGAGTCAGGGTTAAGGACTATTGGGCTGCCGTCTGGGGTACAGAAATGAAGAGGACACAGGCCTTGCCCACAGCAGGCTCTCAAATAATATAGGCAGTTATGCCAAATCAGTGTAAAGTACCACCTATTTCTTGATCAGGGTACCTAACTGAGGGAGGAGGGTGATAGTTGAGGAAGGCTTGCTAGGTAGTTATATAACCCTGTTTATAGAGTGCTTGTAAAAGTTACTGCCATTGATTGGGTTTGCATGAACGGGTTAATAGAGATGGTTACCATAGAAAATAAACTTTCAATAGGTAGGACTCAAATGACACTGAGGTTTTGATTCAACTAGAAGAGTTATCATTGAAACTCATTGGTTTCCTAAAGTATTTTATGTGTTGTCCTAACTAATGTTCACAAGTAATTCCACGTGGTAGTTATATTTACTCTTTTTATCCCCATTTCTGGAGGAGAACACGGAGGCCTAGAGAGTATAAATGACTCAAGGGCACGTGGAAAGTGAATAGGGATAGAGCAGTGTTGGTGCGCCTTTGTGTGTGTGGTGTCTACGGACCAGGGACTTTTGAAGAATTAACCTATTTTACATTGTTTAGCTTATTTCCCTAGACTTTTTAAATAACTTTTTTTAGAGGTGATCTTAAACAATTTAAACATCTAAATGGGGAAAACAGTGCAAGTTAGGAACCGAAAAGAATTTTAGGTCACATTTGTAGGTTCAGTAATTGCTTGTGACCCTGTACAGTTGGCTTGGAAAAATTTCGAATACCAGGCCGTCAGCAAAATAGAAACCTGTTTTTGGCTAGCAGTCAGAAAATGTGGCTGTTTGATTTTTACTTAAGTGACATGTTGCTTCTCTGTCAAGGTGGGGTTTTTCATTTGTTTTTTAATCCTCTACTGGGGATGGATTTTACTGTTTTTAAAGAAAGAGAAAACATTGATTGCCTTCTGCATGCACCCTGGCCAGGAATTGAACCTGTGGACTTTTCGATTTGTGGATGAACCAGAGCCACACACGCTAGGGCTGTCAGGGTGGGGTTTTAACTCTTACTCCATCGTTTGAAAGAGCATTTGATACATAGGAAGCATTTTTAAGTGAACAAAATTTGTTGTAATCACTCAGCATATTTTTGAACATTATGTAGGACAAGTCCTACTTAGTAAAAGGTATAAATCCAGGGAGATTGAGAACTGCCTTTCGGTATGCCTCTTGTGTTATAGACTGTTTACCTTTCTATGTGATGAGTCAGGGGAGGGACTAATAATGACTCAGAGTTGGAAAAATTGGACTTGTGAATAGAATAGATACAACAAACAATGAGGCTGCTTAATAAGATATTAAGCTGGACTTTCCTAAATATTTGAGTTCATTGATGAAGTAAATTGAATTTTAATATTATTGTGATTTGTAATGAGTTGTTTAAGGTGAGGTGCTTTTTCTCATAAAAATAATGATTATGTAATTAAAGAAGATGGCATTTATGGTGTGCTGCTTTAGTGCTAGGCACTGTTCTAAGCACTTGATGCAACAACCCTGTGGGGTAAGTTACTTACT